GGCCATGTACACAATGTGTACAAATGTCAGATATGGCAAATAAACAGACCATAAGTACTAATTTCTTTCACCTTTTAACTAATATTTATGTTTGGAACTGCTGCAATTTTTATTAAGGAATACAAAGATACATATTCCAAGTGATGGGATCAAAACTACTACAGTAATCCAAAAATAATAATAATAATATGATGATGAGATGATGATTGTTTAATGTATCACAACACATCCATGTAAAGCACCTTGGGATGAATCTGTTGTGAAAGGCGCTATATAAAAAATAATTGAATTGAATAATAATTTAAATATTCATAAATAATTCATAAATTATTATTATTATTAACAGTAGTAATAATAAGTTACATCTATGTAGCACCTTTCACAAACCTAAGGTCGCTTCACAAATACAGATAAGTATTAACAATGGAAGGATCACGGTATGGAGTAAATGCTACACTTTGAACGTTATAATTCCTGTCAGGCGTAAGACATTGACTTCAGACTGCAGGGCTCTCAATATGACCAGTCTTGTGCAGAGAGAAAAGTTTTAATAAAATCCAGTTTCAGCTGTAGGGCGGCCACTAGGGGTCACTTCCCTATTGGATTAGTGGAATCCCCTTTATTATATGTCCCTGCAAAACTTTCTAATTGAAACAGATTCTCCTCCATCACTTCCTGCATAATTGTCTAAATAAAGTGCTGCCTCTGAACAACAATTGACCCAAGATGGGAAATACTTTATAGAAACTTCTTGGGTTTCTCTTTGTGTAGTAGTCTCCCGTTGTTGCTTAAGCCTTAAGATGTTCAGAAACTACTCTTTGGGTAAGCTGTGCAGTACTTCTCAGTATTGTCTGTTACATTTCATCTATATTTTCTGTTCTTGACAATTGTAACTCATTTTTAAATTCCATCTCTCTTTCGCAGTGAAAGTCCACGTGCTGATTGCCGGAGAAACTTTTGGTACTCATGGAACCTTCATACAAAAGCTGAAGTTGCGGACAAAGCGATGCAGTGCAGAGAGCAGCAGCGTCATCCTGGTCTTCTGTCCTGTTGTTTCTCGGATTGGGACAGACATGGAGGCAGCAATGGCCAGAGTTACAGGTGAGTCAGGATTCAGTTACTGCTGTATGTCACCTTTGCCCTGAAATCCAAATAAGGCCCAACAAACAGGTATTATGTAGTTCATATCTTCACAGAGGAAGTTGTGATTTATTTAACAGAAGCTGCCTATCAGAAGTTGTCCTGTAAACCCTTTCATCCCTAACCATTTTGAGCGTTTTTCTATCCCTTTGATTTTAGGCTTATTACGATGTACATACATGAGTTAGCCACATATGCTGTATGTTTTTGTGTTCAGAACATTCAGCACTACTCAAATATGTCAAAATATATGCCTCATTGTACACAGGATTAATCTGGAATACTTTAGTGTGCAACATTGCAACTTAGATGACCGAAGTAAATTATCTGGATTCCAGCAATATGTGATTTCACGTCGGTGCGTTATACCTGTCCAAAGTTACAAGTCTAGAATAATGGGAGTGAAAATCAACGCATTTTGCGTTTGTCGGATTCTAAGAATTAAAACAAACACAGACCAAGAAACCATCCATATCTGCTGAGTCTTTTTCCAGTGGAGACGTCAGACTCTCAAGGCTGTAAAACACTTAATCTGGGAGATAAAATCAACCAATAAAAATGGAATTTAATTTCTAAAATAATAAGACGGCAACACAATGTTATACATTACATTATGACAGAATCAGACAAAGAAATGCAATTTAGTTTCAATATGAAGCTGACTGTGTTCATATTGTGTATAATAACAGCACAGGTCTCTGCAACTATATTTTGTTTTATTGTGGTAGTGAGTAACCCAGTAAAGTTGTGCACTGTCCTGCAACGTGTAGTGCTTCTACAATAATGCACATATGGTATTAAAACAGCACTGAATCTGAATCATCATCATTTGTTTTTACCAAGTCTTTTACAAACCCACAGGTTAGACTGTACTTTGAATATGTATAATTTACTTACTTCAAATGACTTTGGATTTTATAACTTTTCCATCCATCCTACTGTCAGAGAACCAGTCTATGCCTGCCAAATACCCCTTACTACAGAAAGGTCCCAAAATACCAATTATGGACCACAGAACCTGTTAAGTTACAACTAAATTATTAAATTACATGTAAAAGCGGAAAGGAAACACAAATGTTCAAACAATCTTGTGAACACACAGCAAGCAAATGAGCAGGCAAACAAAAGTAATAAAATCACATTGCAGTTAGACAAAAGAAATAAAACAATATCTGAAATACAAAAACAAAAAGGAAAGAAAACAAGCTATTTACATGGGCCCATGTTAAATACATAAAAAAATGTATCCCGCAATCTGATCGATAGTCCACAGTTCTTTGATTGCCACTGCGCTGCCTTTGATCTCCTTCCTATTCAGGCGAACTGACCCGGCGACTCCTTGGTACACGCTGCCCATCAGGCACTCAATGGAAGCCAGCAAGAAGAAACATAACAAGGATATAAATACCCAGACCTTCCACTAGTTATACCCACAAACACACAAAACAAAATACAAACATTCCTTTAAAACTTAACTTCAATATCATTGTGCGATTAAACCACGAACGGCCCAGCTACAGCTCGTCTTCCATCAATTCTGATCACTCCATCTATTCTCACTGAGATCCCCTCATCCGGAAGAGACAAGCGCAAAAAAATTCTCCCTATTCCATGCCCCTCCCAAATTAAATTGGCAAATCCATTAATTAGTCACATGTCATTAATCACACATTTCGGAAATGCAGCAACAGCACAAAAACACAGCACAAAAATTACAAAGACAAAGTGAAAAAAATCACAACCAATTAAAGAAAAAAACCCAAACCTTACGTCTCCCCCTTGTCCCCTGTCTACCAACCCCATGCCTGACACTGACCACTTGTACTCCACAGGTTTATGATGAACCAACAGCCAATTCTAGGAAGGAAACCTCACAGCTTTTCTTTGTTCTCACCTCATTTAAGCCACAAAAATCATGAGGGGAAGCAACAGTATCTATCAGTGCCCACAGTAACCTGTTTGGTTTCTGCCTTCCACAGAAGACAAACCTGTCATCCTGGTGTTCATGCACCACTGTCACAACCCCAGTCACATGACCAACATTACAGTGCAACCATTCAGGAGCAACATAGTGCAAGTCGTCCACTGCGCCTTCCATGAATATAAAGGGCTGCTGGAATGCCAGGAAAATGAGCAGGCGGCCAAAGCAGTGAGATCAGCACTACTGAGGTACAAGTGAAGATACAGACCCTCTGCAGGGGAAGTGACTATTAACACAAATACTGTGGACACACTCAGGATATTGATTGGTTTAGTCAATTATCCTCAGAGTTTGTAATCAAACTGTGTAATTATTCTGCTGTGGAGTTAAACTTTGCAGAATATTTCCGACTAAGAAACACCCACCAAATATAAAAACACTACAGAAAAACCCAACAAATTACAAATTTTACAGATCAACAGTAACTATCAGGAGAATCTCTAATGTCTTAACTGTATAGTATGTGACTGAAAAATTAAACAGAAATAATTTGTGACTAACTGTTTTTGAAAGTAACAAATTAATTTTACTTTTATATATTGTATAAGTTATACATATACTTATTTATGAATTTATGTATCTGTATATTTATACTGTATATACCACACACACACACACAAGTTGATCTTCCTATCTAAATGGGGACTGTCCGTTCATTTCTATGGGAAAAACCCTAATCCCAATCATGACACCCTTAACCCCTACCTAGCCCTACAAGATTTTGGCACTTTTACTTTTTGATTGCATTCACAGATTTTTATGAAACTGAGGTTATTCAAATGGGGACCTCAAAAGTAAGGAAGTTTCAGGTTTTACCACACTTTGGGGACATTTTAGTCCCCAAATGTGATCTATGCAAACCCCCCCCCCTACACACACAGAGTCACACATGCACATACCTATTCTCAGATCTATCAAATTGCTCATTTTAAAGGTCCTGTCAGTACCTGTTAGGATATTATATATTATAATTTCATTGCATAAATGTATTTTATCACATGCACTCTGCAGGTATGTTGATTTGCATGATGAAGTCACTCACACCCAATCAGAGCAGCAGATGGCCGCCCAGGGTGATAATAGAGCAAAGATCACCAATGACAACGAGATTCCAGGGATGGCCACTGATCCTGTAAGAGAGGAGAATGAATCTGTTCCGAAGAGGATTGCATCAGCGAAGGGACGTTCCACCGACCCCTCTGGAGGTAAAGGGTGTCTTGGGGCCTGAGTGAGCTCTGCATGCAGACAGACAGCCAGTGGACAAGTGGCCATAAACACAGGGTGTACAAAGATAGATCTTCCAAATAATGGGATCATAACTACTAACCCAGAAATACCTATTAGCTGTGGAAGGCAAAGCTGCAGTATGGAGGAAATGCAGCATTTTGTTTTTGTAATTTAAAAAATTCAGGCAGAGGTTAAAATGGCAGGGATGTTTGTTGCAGTTCAGCATTATTGCTGGAAATAGTCAGACCACTTCCTGTTGCCAAGTGACCCACTGCCATAAAGTTAATGTGACCAGTCTTATGCAGAAAGAAAATTTTTAGTAAAATCCAGTTTCAGCTGTAGTGTGGCACTAGGGGTCACTTCCCTATTGGATCTAGTGGAATGCCCTTTATACATGT